AATAAACAACACCTTCTGTTGATGTCATTAGTAAAGACTTCTGCATCTTCGAAAATTCAGTTACCATGATATCCAACCACACTACAACAACGGACATTTAAATTCATGGGAATATATTTTTCACTGATGTATTGATTATTCTCCCAAGCATCGTTAACAATTTCCTGGTTTAATAGTAATCTGAATATACGGGAAACGAACTCATTTCTGATTGTCGACATCCGCAATTTGATTCAGGTGCCAAGCAGGTTCGTTAATACTTGACCGACTAAGGATGTTGAGAGGGAAGTTAAAGATTGTGTCAGTATCATTTCTCAAAAGCTGAATAAATATACTTATAGCTACTATGTAGTTTAGTGTACATAATAATGTAGGTGATGATCATAGAATACGACGGTATGGAATTTACCTACTCTCAATAGATCAGCGTATAATTGAATTTTACTTGCTATGTGAGCTTAAAACTTCGTGTAATTTACCCGATTTCGCTCAAAATTACCAATAATTTTTAAATCTTAAAAGTATTTACAGCTGACATGCATCAAAGATAACCAAAACCATAGTATCACGTTTTTAAACAGATGACCATTTCAATAATTGTCGACTGGTCATATGGTCGACGGAAAATACCATAAAACTCTCGACAGTAAGAATCATGTTAGTTAGTACGCAAACAGCTAACAAGTAACTGTCTGCATTTCACTTGACTTTTTTTCAGAACCTTATCCATTGTACTCTAAACTCCATCATATTAAATATGCATCATATTATTCAGTTCTTATTTCAACTAGTTGTTTTATTTTTTCAACAAGAATTTACCTAATCGATTGAATCTGTCCAGTGTAAACAAACATCAAAATAGTTTTGTTGAAATATTTAACTGTTTGAATTGTAAATCGACTTTGATCATCCGATTTATTGATTTTTTTTAAAATTTTGTCAACAACAAACACAAAAACAATCATTGTGTTTACACAATGGACCATTAGGTCTATTAATATGTACTTGATTATTGAATTACTGATTTGTTATCTATCTAAGGATAATAATCGACACTAACGCTGTTGGATGCCGGCCCAGTAGTTCAGAGGTTAGGCGTTTGCGCGCAAGACCAAAGGTCCTAGGTTCGAATCCTGAGAGGTGCAGGAGTCATGGATGTGTACTTCTGATGAGTTCCATGCCATGAAGAAACGGCCATTCAGTGCTTCCAGGTTTCTAATGATGGTCTAACAATGAGTGATTGACGATTTCAAATGTGTAGAAAGAATTAACTCCATAACTCTAATTGACAAATAATGATAATCATAGTAATCAATTGATGACATAATTTTCCGACTTTTGACGATTAGCATCGATCTATGCAATAAACATGTAGTGAAGGAGAACACAGGTGAGGGCAACCGAATTGTATTTATCGAAAATTACAGAGTTAATTGGTAAAATAGGAAAACCATATCGTAAACCGTTAATTTGCAAATCTTCAATCCATTGTCTGACATTTCACTGTTCATGTGTTTCATACAAATTCCATTGTGTTCCCACTCTTCTTTTCTTGATCTTCCCCCATCTTCTGCTGTCACAAATTACGTTTTCACTCGCGTCATATACTACTTATAAGTAGCGCGCACCACAAACATATAAAACTTATGAAAGAAACTATTGATGGGAAGAAAAATTCTCTTTTCGTCTACAAAATTTGTACAATCGTGTATTTATGGTTAATCAATTGAAATTATAGTCTGTAAAAAAATAGAATACTATTGTTTCCAAGTACTGAACAGATTACAGATAGATAATTGTTAGCTTGAAGAATATTACGAAAGTAAGAATATAAAATAGTATCGTATCATAAATTTACTGGAAATATTAGATTTAAATAATAAGTTGCCTGATAAGTGAAAGGCTAATAAAAGTATTTCTGAGTGAAGACATTTTGTAGTTGAGAGATGTTGATAGGAGGTATTCAGTAACAAGCCTTGGACCTGGGTGTCGTCCTGTTCGGTTCTCATCAGCAGGGAATCGATAGTCTCTGGCTGACTCGATGTGGTATCATGATTCACTCTCGTTATCAGAGACCTTACCAGTGAGCCATTCAATATGTGAATAATCTGCTGTAGGACTCTGGTATATTTATAACTGATCAATCACTGAGTAGTAACAGATATCCTGTTTGTCAAGCTCTTTTTAGTGCTGTCAATCAAGTTGCAATCTGACCCCTAGTTGATAGAATTCGATTAGAACTAGGAAGGACTTTACGTACATGACTTAGTCATTGGTCCATGATCAATTAATTTTAAAAGTTGAGAGATAATCATTCTTTCGATGAATATAAAAAGTAGAATAGTTATATGTTGTCATACTACCTCGTCAATTATTGTAAGCAGAAATTAGCAAGTCATAACAAGAGATTACTTCGTATGGAAGATAGGAAGGACTGGTTCAAGACTACCTTAGGCTGGAATTCATGGATTACTGATTCAGTGAAGGTTTATAAGCCCCTAATTTGTATTCAGTTTGAACCATTTTGGTTCACACTGTAGGTGACCTTGAAGGAGGATTCTGCTTAAACAATGTAACCAGTATTTATGAGAAGAATAAGAACCAACATATTCTGATTTAACATAATCTATTTCTAGAATAAAAAAATAAAGTCGGTCACTTGTAAAGCTGAGTGATCAACTAAAAATAGTATTGACGTGGGTGTTGAATGTTTGTATCAGTAAATAGTTTACCTACACATTTTATGACTCACCTTCTGGAATTGTAGAACGCTGAAAATTCTGAAATCGAGAGTCATCACATAAATGCTCTCCTATCGGGGACATAGGGTAGTTGTAAACGAATGTAAAGAACTACACAATAATGTAACCTTTCTTTGTATTGTTGTGCTGTGGTGATGAAATCAGCCGGAAGTGATTCGTCATCCGATCGTTCAATTTTGAAAGCTTTAATAAAAACAATGCTACTTGTACTAAAACTTATCATGTGAATTATTCACATTATCTGATTTCTGATTGGTGTAAAGTAGTTCAAAATCCCTCAAGGTCATTTAAACGTTAACTGAGATTTGACTGTTTTTACTGGATTCATTGTCAGTAAAATAAATAAAAAATTTAACACGTGTTGCACTTTGCCTATATATCATTTGGTAAGATATTGATTGATCTTCACTGTTTTTTTAAACTATCAGCAGTGATTATTGATGAATAGAGAATCTAGTCAGATTTCATCAAAATCCAGTCGGTATTATTGCGATTATTATTATTGATTTCGGAACGTGTTTAAATGACTTTTATTGAAATAAGTGAAACATGATTAAGTAAACTAGAAAAATCTCTTTTTTAACTCACAATATACAATACAATTGTTATCAACACTATGTAAGATGTCACATGTACTCACAGCAAGAATTAAGATTATTGATTTTTATGAAATTTATTTGGTGATAGCTTTATCAAAGTAATTTTTTGCCTATTAATGTGAATGGTCTTTAAAAAAATTGATGAAATCGAAATGGGTTCCCATCCTACATATCATCTGTCAGCTACTGATATAAACTATAAACCACCGAAAACTACAGAAGAATGAACAGCTTCTTGTCTCATTATGATACTAGTCAGAAGTGTACTTTCATGGATTTATGCATTCATTGTTCAGCTCAGAACCTTTAAGTCCAGCGTTGATCAACTAGTTTGAAAGTATAATGCTCTCCTTCTAAATCTGACAGTCTCAAGTTGTTTAGATCATGAATATATGTAAACTAGAATGAAATAGTTTTTTCTCTGTGCATCACAGCCAACCAAGGTTTATTATAACTGGTGATATTTCGTGAAAAAAAAGCTATGTACAGCTTTGAATAATCCGTGCAGATTGTGTGATTAAAGATATTATTAACTTCTCAAGTCACATGGTATGCTAAATTTTACGCCTTAAATTACTTTTTTCTAAGCTTTTTCATAGAATGTTAAGGACTAGAAATGGTGTAGTAATAATTAAAATCAATATGAGGCGATATAATACCATCCTATAAACTGATTGACTTCACAGTTATGCAAATATTATAATAGTATGTAAATGCGAAAACGAGAAACGTCATATTGTAGTGAACGAGAACACAGGTGGGGCAACCGGATTGCAGAGTTACTCAGTAAAATCGGGAAAACCATATCGTAAATTGTTCATTTGCAAAATATCAGTTCATCATATCGAACTGGACTGTTCCTGTTGCAAAATATCAATCCATTGTCACTATTCATGCGTTTCATACAAATTCCATTGTGTTCTAACTCTTCCTTTCTTGATCTTCCACCATCTTCTGCTGCCAGACATTACGTTGACACTCATGTCATATACTACTTATAAATAAGTAGCTTGCACCACAATATAACTAAAGTAGCATTTTTGGACATTATTATCATCTCTAGTTTAAAAATAGATGTGAACTACAGCTGCAAAATCAATCATATCTGGCGATAAGCTAGATAAATGTCATCGTATTTATTTGTCATCTTCATGTATCTTTTTTTACTCTGATGGTTGTTTCTAATTAAGTTGACCTCTGACTGGATCGGTATGTCAGTTGATTGACAAAAATTTAAATCTCACTTGGATCATCTACTCCACAAAAAAAAACAAAGTTCTGACAGATATTTATTTTTTTAATGTACTAAGTTTGAAAGTGTGCAACTTTTGAAATTATTCACTATTTTCGGTCATAAAGATTTATTTTGTTCAGTTACTGTGAAACGAATCAAATAAAGTTGATCGAAAATTATGAGATGACAATGACAAAACTGTTAGAAGAGTTTACCTTACAATGATGATGATGATCACTTATTGTTTAATTCATCCAATAAGAAATTAAATGAAATATTTATAGTAAGTTTCATGTTTATTCACTACTAAGTCCACCCACTCATTCAGATTCAATTGACCAATTAGCATTCAGCCTATACACATTTAAAAGATTTATTAAGGTTTAATGAAATTAGTTGACATAGTACAAAATAATTGTTACATTTTCTTCCAATAATCAAATGAATCCTGATTACACTGATTTGAGTGCATGGAACTTATCAGGACCACAAGATACCTTTGCTAATCGAGGCTCAGGTTATCCTTATGGAAGTTCAGGATATCCAGTTGGAGGACCAGGTTACCCGGTTGGAGGGTCAGGATTCCCTGGAGAGAGACAGGGATTTCCATCAAGTGGAATAGGATTTCTGGCAGACGGACAAGGACCCCTTGGAGGACAAGGGTTCCCAGAAGGAGGGCCGGGGTTCATGGGGGGAGGTTCAGATTATACATCAGGATACTATCAAACTCCATTTTCTGGAGGATTTCCGCCTTCTGATCCGACTGGATTTATACATCCACCAACAGGACAGAATAATTTAGGAAATAATCCTTATCCTGTTTCACAGTCGTCTGGTTACATTCCAGGAGCTAATTATTTCGACAAAACTACTGGGTATACACCACAAAAACCATATTCAATGACTAACGAATTTAACAATGGAAACAATTTGGGAACAGATAACTATAACTGCCAATTCAATTACGGTAATGAAATTGTAAGTCCTATATGTTTATATACTTAATACATGTTTTAATGACAAGAAGTTAATTGATTCAAGGATTTTATAATCGTAATTCTAACCTATTTTTAATTGAAACCATGAATTAAACATTGTCAGACTAACATTAAAAATCTGACACCACCGGACGGCCCTTCCGTGCACATCTACAACTCCTGCTTCTAGCGTGTCTCTAACCCGGAACCTTTGGTCTTCAGCACATATGACTAACCTCCCGGCCATTGAGCCTCTATCCATCGACATTATTGTCTAACTTTAATCAATCTAAGGATTTTACGCAACCTCACCAAAATACCAGAGGTTAGCAGTTCACGCGAAGGAACGAAGATCCCAGGTTCAAATCCTACGAGTAGCAGGAGTCGTGGGTGCGCACTGCTGAAGAGTCCCATGCCAGGACGAAACGGCCTTCCAGTGCTTCAATGTTCCTAATCGTGGTCTAACAATGATTCATTCACGATTTCAATGAAAACAACTATCTCCGTAATACTATAATTCATAATTTTTAATTTTTCAAATGGGATGCAATAGTTGTAAGAAATTGATTTTCATCAGACTGTTTTCTTTTCTAAATGAATATTGAAGTTCTTGAAAAAAACTGTATCCAGTCATGTTGTAATTCTCTTGTATCGCACTTTTTTCCATGTTTACTTATACCACTTAAACGGTTAGGTTAATTAAATTTCAGTCTGTGTATATCATTCAACAAACTAGACTGGGTATAACAGGGAAAATGATTTTGTTTTCTTCTCCAAGTCGAATTCTTCAGCAGTGTATATAGCACAGAATCAGATTGTGTATTTGAACTTATTCACTCTGATCTGGTTAAGAGAACCAAGAAAATAAAACCATGTTATTCTTTTGTCTTAACCATGTTGTAATCATATGTTATGTGAGATCTATTGAAATTTTAGTAATGCTAAGGCAAATCGTACAATAACTCTCAACAATCATCATTTATCAATAAGCTTATTTACTATAGATTAAACTTTGAAAATTCTTGAAATCTTTCTTTCTTTAAGAGTATGGTGTTAATTTACAGAGGTAGTCAGTCAATTTAGAACTTATAAAAAATTGACTAGAATGTTATCAGTTATATTGTTGAGTTTTTGTTGGGGAGGTTAGATCCCCAGAACTCACTTGGAAAAGGTCTTGATTTTTGACTTTTCTGTGTGTTTTCGTGTATAAACTGCTCGTCTGACCTTGAGTTTACATTTCCCGCCAGGAAAATCCTTGACTGTCATTGGTTGATGGATTATTTTAGTACGCTATTTTTATGGCTCTCTCAAGGACGTTTCTATCATGCATAAGTAAGTAAGACAAAATAGCACTGAACTACTGCATCATCCTACCTAGTTGATCACACTCATCATTAGTGTGAACATTTACCACCAACCTTATGTACGGCTGAATCCATAATCTATACAGTAAGAAAACAAAGCACTATAGACTAATGAGTTGGAATACAATAGCTTACATTTTCAATTTCATCTGATATGAGTTTTGTTTGTGTGTGTGTGTGTGTTAAATATACACTTATCCAAAACTACATAAAAGTACATAAATGAAACAAAAAAACTGTTTATTATCAAAACAAATTTAACTGAATGAAAAAAAACAACTGAAAGAATGAAGAATTCAATTGTACCCATTTTTATTTTGTATAAACCGGAATCGCCTAGACCGTTTTATAGGTTATTTTTATTATCAATGGGTTTCTAAAAGCAATACCATTATACCAATATAATAATAGTTACAATAAGGCAACCAATGTCAATAACGCTGATCAATAATATGTCACTAATTTAAATATAAGAATAGGAAGTGTAAACCAGTGCTAAGTAAACACGCGGAGAAAAAACAAGTCTGTAGGAATCTAGTTAAAACTTGATTATCACAGTACTATAAGAATAATGTAGGTTGGAAGGAACTGTGTAGATTGTTGAGTTTTTACAAAAATTAAGCTGTATTTGATTGATGTTCTGTTTTAATGTGACATCCTTTAGCAATCACTATCCATGTCTACAAGTCAAGTGCTATCTGCAGGACCTCGAGGTCCTAAGTATGATGCTTGGTGGACAGTCATGGATGAACAGTGTTGTGGAGCCATATACTAAACGAAGAAGCTGCTTAGTAGTCTTCAGTGATTGTCATCCTAAAGTTGGTTTTTGATTTTAAGCCATAAAAAATCTTCTAGACTAAGTATATGATTCATGTTCTCCCATTTGATGGAAAAAAGTGTTTTTCTGATAGACTGGAGCCACTTGAAGCATCATTAAATACTTTTAGAGATGGAACGCCATATTGCCTTAGTATGAATCTTTATGAAATTATGTTCTTATGACTTTTTATGTGGTCTCTATTAGGGACGTTAGATCCCCAGAACTCACTTGATAAATGTCCTAATTTTGTATTCTATGCTTTCACGCATGGGCTGATCAGTTGACCTTGAGATTACAAAACAGATCTTCTTGGCCTTCATTGGTTGTCTACATAAATCAAGCCGAGGGTTTTACTACAAATTAGACAGCTTCTGCATTTCTGTGATAATTAAAAAGAATTTAAATTTAAAAGGATTTCCACCAATAGAAACCAAATGAAGACAAACGATTATTGGTTTTCTTACAGCTAATTAGTCACTCCATGAAACTTAAAATAGCCATCGCTAACATTAAATTGCTTTGACTCTGACTGATTAAATTAAAAATCTCTAACTATACAGTTTCCTTTCAGTGGCTTGTTAAGGAATATGTTTTTTTTAGAAAGAATAATATCGAAAGTCAGTCAGCTTGGAAGAGAAGTCATAAAATATATTTCCTAGAATTTTCAATTATTTTAACTTTTGTACATTGGTAGTGAAAGCTATCTTCTGACTCTCTTCAGTAAATAAAGATCATGTAAACTTTATTTTATAAATGGTTATGATTTGCTCAGTTTATGCTTTAAAATCTTCCTTATTTGTGAGAATACGCTTGTGTCATCCTTAGAGAGTTTTAAAAGTTGCGCATTACACTTAATCATTACTGAATGCCTGATTTACATTATGAATCACGCTAAACTCACAAAGGTTTTTTAAGTCTGATGATTGTTAAAGATGACTCATTATGGATTAGAACATGTGGCTAGTTATAACTACCAATCGTATTAGAGTACTTACTTCGCAGATCATATAAATGACTAAGCAAATAATAGGCTCAATGAATAGAATATTAATTGGCTTGATTTATACAGTTTCTTTTTGTAATTTTTAGGTTGTTGTATATTCTCAAAAATAAGTTGTTGACACTAAAATCAAATTATAATCTTGAAAAAGTTCATGTTTGTTTAGGAAACTATCAGATAAAACTTTCATTATGAATATTATTGATCCGATTATCATCTTGTACAAATGATGATCAAATACATTGACTGCTTAACAATATTACTACGTCACTGTGTATAAACGTTATTATGTTTTGTGACACGTTTCATTCAGTATTGATCAAAGAATTGAAATCATTCTCTGTCACATGATTAATTTCTATAAACACTGTATTTCTTTCTAAATGTATTCACACTCGTTAACCTTTGGAAATTGAAACTCTCAAAATCTATAAAACTTATATGTTAAACAATTATTAAATATTGTTATTATGATTGAGTATTCTTAATAAGACTGTATCTTCACGATAAATTGTTATCATAAACTAAAGTTTGTTGGAACCAATGGAAACTAGCAAGCACTTGATGTCATTTTCATCTATACATGTGGCTCTACAACTCAATTTTCAGTCCTTACAGCAGTGATCATGAAAAAGATGATAACATCTGTTAAATCAATGACGTGAAGCAAAAATGGTTTCTAATATTTATTCTGTTATGCTCGTCAGTTGATATGCTTGAATGTTATTACGAGTTCACCTTAGTCGGTAAACGAGAGCGAAGACAAATGATGCAGTGATACGATAGGTTACTCTAATCCGAGTGCCCAAACGCCTCATTTAGTAGAGGAAGAAATCTTGACAAGACGTAGAAAGTGTATTTTACAAGCACCCAGAAAACCGAGATTTTCAAGCACACAAATGGAGTTTATTTATAATACATGATAGAAACGTCCTTGGGAGAGCTACTAAAATAGCGTACTAAAATAATACATCAACCAATAACAATTAAGGATTTTCCGAGTGAGAAATATAATCTCAAGGTCAACTGGTCAGTCCATGTGCAAATCCAAAATTAGAAGTTCTGGGGATCTAACATCCCCACTATATACTCTGACAATTACATTTCTTTTTATTATCTCAACCTACATTCATCTTCTGTCTAGTTTGAACCAACAGTTATGGATGCAATGAATTTCGATCCAGAAGCAGACTGTGAACGTTTACGTAAAGCAATGGCTGGTTTAGGAACAAATGAAAAAGAATTAATTGCAGTAATGGGATTTAGAAGTCCAAAACAACGTACGATTATAACAAGAAAATATAAAGCAATGTATGGCAAAGATTTAACTTCTAAATTTGATTCGGAATTAAGTGGAAACTTTTATCAATGTATGGTAGCATTGTGTCGATCACCATCGGAATTCGATGCAATGGAATTACGTAAAGCAATGCGTGGTGTTGGTACAGATGAAGAAGTATTAATTGAAATTTTATGTACTCGAACTAATCAACAAATAAGAGAAATATGTGAAGATTATGCCAAAAGTAAGTGAGCAGTGTTTGTTTTAATTTTTTTTTTTTAAATCAATATGAAGAACTTTTTTTCCATATTGTTTTTCAAAACAGTGGTTCCCTTTGATAAATTTGAACAGAGAAATGAGAAGACATATTTTGTGAGATAGTACCATTTTGTGCTTTCTCTTCAGTCACATACAAGCAACATGTTATTTGTGTAAATACAGTTTTGAAGATAAGGTCAAAATTTCTTATTTAGCATGACATTCACTCACTAGAACCATGATAAATAAAGGTCAACATACAGTTGGACTTTTCCGACCAATCAAGATAGCTTCGAGTAGTTTCAGTGTGTGTGTGTGGGTCAATTTGATGACCACTCATCATTAGATGTTTTGCAATGGACAAGGCTGGGTTTCTTGATCGATTTTGCGATGGCGGGCTAGGTTGATGAATCATGGATTTGATTAACCATTTTGGAATATGTTCCCCTATCCTGTCTTCCAATCTTCAAAACTGTATTTACACAAATAACATGTTGCTTGTATGTTGTGACTGACGAGTAAGCACGAAATGGTACTATTTCACAAAATATGTCTTCTCATTTCTCTGTTCAAATTTATCAATGGGAACCACTATTTTGAAAATGGTTCAAATAAAACTTTATTTACAAACTGTGTACAATATTTAATTGGTTAGTTAACTTTGCTTGTTTATGCATAACCTTGAAATATGTTTGTAGTAGATCGTCATTGTATTTGAAATTTGTACTATCTATATATAGATATACCTTAAGATATTTGATAAATTTATTGAAAAGCCTTGAGATCCTTTCTTTAATCTTATAACCTATGAATAAGTGGAGGGTATATTCGATTGACATCATCAGAATAATCCTTAGAAACTTAAAATCAGTTTGGAACCTTGTAACAGCAATGAGTAATTGAAATGCCTACTGAATCGCAATCTAAAGGCTCATATTCCTTAAATTGAATCTTTTCATGATATCTCAAGCGCTCAAACATGAATGATAAAATTGAGTTAATGTGAACTTGATTTATGCTACGCTACATACATATGACGCTATCTTGTCAAACTTTCATTGAAATAAGTCATAAAAAATTAAAGAATCATCAGTGAATGGTCAATTATTTCTATTATTATTAATAATACTATAAAATGTAGAGGTCTTGTTAGTGACATCAAGTCCACTTCTCAAAGTTAGGTTTAATGCTTATTTCATTCTCACTGTAGTGAACGAGAACACAGGTGGGGTAACCGGATTGTATTTACGAAAATTACAGAGTTACTCAGTAAATTAGGAAAACCATATCGTAAATCGTTCATTTGCAAAATATCAGTTCATCATATCGAACTGGACTGTTCCTGTTGCAAAACATCAATCCATTGTCACTATTCATGCGTTTCATACAAATTCCATTGTGTTCTATCTAACTCTTCCTTTCTTGATCTTCCCCCATCTTCTGCTGCCAGACATTACGTTGACACTCACGTCATATACTACTTATAAGTAGCTCGCACCACATCACATATATACAAAGAGTTGAAGATTTTAAGCAGTTAAATTTAAGCGCTACATATTAAAAGAACGACTTGAGCAGAAGTGTCCTTTGAAGACTATAGTTTATCAAACTATGAGTTAATAATATTTATTTTGTACATTGTCGTTTCATGGATCAGATGAAAATAAGAAACTGCATTTCAGCTGTGAGGTCCCATTTCGTTTGTAGAAAAAATACGGAATTACGAATAATAAGTGAGATGTATTGGCAAACACTGTTAGTTGAAACTCGATTCAATTATTTGAGAGACGCAGCTAAATTCATATCATAGATGAATTTGTGTGTACACTTTGATTCGGATTTTTCTATGAAGTTTTCTATTCATTCTTTGCCTCCTCACTCAACTGGCGTATAGATGGCGTGTATATCAGAATCAGATGACCACCGTTTGTATTTGAATACCTTACATCTAACTAACAAGAGCCGTAATTTTAGACTTCAATACAATAAAACATAAGCTTTATATGATCATATTGTGGTGCGAGCTACTTATAAGTAGTATATGACATGAGTGTCAACGTAATGTGTGCCAGCAGAAGATGGGGGAAGATCAAGAAAGAAAGAGTTAGAACACAATGGAATTTGTATGAAACGCATGAATAGTGAGTGACAATGGACTGATGTTTTGCAACAGGAACAGTCAGTCCAGTTCGATATGATGAACTGATATTTTGCAAATGAACAATTTACGATATGGTTTTCCTATTTTACTGAGTAACTCTGTAATTTTCGTTAAATACAATCCGGTTGCCCCACCCGTGTTCTCCTTCACTAAAATATTAGTCCTACGTATGTGTCAATTCTGCGTTCGAGCACAAGATCGAAGGTCTTCAATTAGATCGCTAGATGTCTGAAAGTGGATGCTTAGTTCTGAGATGTTTCATAATAAGACAAAATGGATATTTAATGCTTTCGGGTTTCAACGGTTGTCCAGCTGGTATCAGTTCGTGATTCAAACTAAGTAATTCAATTGATAACTGAACAGTGAAAATTTTAGCTGAAACAAAATTTCAAGTTTCAATGTAATGTAATGAGCTAAGGTCATGTGAAGTTTGAACTTATGTATAACTGAGAACTTTATACAACTGCTTTCTATCTGAACCACTGAAGAGTTATCATTCAGCAAAAATACTACTCTTTTTATGTAGATTTGAAACTAACTTAACAAATTATAACAGGGAAATGACTTAATACATAATATTGACTAATGAAACCATCGAATAATTATTTGAATAAAAGTATGTATCAACATTTGAATTAGGATAATCTCTATTTCAACTTTCAATACCGACTATTTCAATCATTGGGTGTATTTACTTCTTTCTAAACAGTTTACAAAGGTCGTTCCCTTGAGAAAGATATAAAAGACGAAACATCTGGTTATTTCAAACGTATCTTAGTTGCATTAGTCCAAGGAGATCGAGATGAAAATCCAAATGTTGATGAATGTCGAGCACGTAGAGATGCTGAAGAATTGTATAAAGCTGGAGAACAAAGATGGGGAACAGATGAATCAAAGTAAGTTGAATAAAATTTTTTAAGCAATTTTTTATAAACTAATTTATTTGATGTATTTTTTTGATGAAAATTCTATTATTCTGCAGGTTCATCTATTTTATTGCTTCTCAAGCTGATATTACAGACTGACTTTAAATAGCTGAATGATAGTCATGCGATCTCGTCAAATGACTGAATTTGGTATTTAGAACTACGTTAACTCGATAGTCTAGAGCTGATATGTGCATCATGTGAGCTAAAGATCTTCTTTTTGATCGCTGATGAGGTTACTGGATTCGAAACGCTCAGATTAAGTAGGTATCGATTAAACCGCGGCTATCAGTTGTGTCTAACAAAAGTAGATTCGTAATATACATTATGACCAAATTAAAAAGCCTCTGCCAGACCGCCTATGCTAAAATGAGTTTGAACAAGCATACACCACGTGAATATGTAGTAAGTTAGTTTGTATTTTTAAATACTTCATCTGCTTCCATTTCATGGTTTTGTCAAGATTACATCATTGATGCTGATACCTGGTTCTTGACTAAACGATTAAAGTTTGAACATTTACATTTTTCATCAGCCTTATAGCATAATATTAAACAATCTTTTAGAAAACTTCCTGCTTTTCAAAGATATGGTCTTTTTTGAGTTTCTACATAGGTTTACAGTAGATTTTAAGATTAATTAAACAAAACCACTTCTAATGGATTAAACTCTTTATTAAAATTTAAAAAAGTTAATTATAAACACACCAATTAAATTACATTGAATTTGCCACGATTTTATGAAAATATGGTCTATTTGACACTTAGAATGATAGTTTCAGAGTATGAACTGTTTCTAAAACAGTAAACTGCTCCATAACAGTAATCTTTTCTTAATAATTTAATTAATTGTAGTCATTCTAGTTAGGAACTGTGGGGGATATTTTGTTTGTCATTCTGTGTTGTACGGCCCGTATCATGTAATCATGTTATTCAATAATTATGAAGTGTGTACAGCAGCTGTATTTCCCGACCGTAGTTGTAACTTTGTTACGTTGGTTGGCCTTCAGTCAGTCAGTCAAATGCAACGTAGAACTTCGTACGTAAATACATCAGTTCATGTTGCTATACCACATCAGCACAGAGATGTATTTTTCAATTCAGATCCGATAGTATAAGAGGTAGTAAGGGTATTAGAAGTAATCGGAGAGGTTAGGATTAGAAGATATTATTAAAGAAGTATGATTCAATGAGAAAAGTTTAGAAAGTCAAAACTAGAGGTGTTGAAGAATCCAGAAGATTAGGATTTGAGAGAACACAAAGAATAAATGCACCGGCGCCATTGCGAACGATTTTGAGCCATGTCATTCAAGGTCTCTAGCCATCGATTATTATCATCTCGCGGACCCCAACTAGGTAGTCGACAACTACCGACATGGCTAAGTCCACTTGTCAATGATTTCATGGATTTGTGCCATGTTTTGGTTTGGCCGCCCCTAGCTTTCTTCCAACCTATTCCTACACTACAAAACAAAGCTCATCGAGGCAGTCGGTGGTTAGGCATACGCAGCAACACATGTCCCAACCACCTCAACTGATGAAGTTTCATTACTTCATCTATTGATATGCTATTCTTACCTAGCACCCGATTCCTAATAACAGCGTTGCTCACTTGGGTGTCCCACGATATACGAGCAATGCTTCGAAGACACCTATGATCGAAAACCAATAACCGACGAGTATCTTCTACTCTCATTGGCCATGTTTCACAGCCATAAAGTAAGACGGAGCGAACTACTGCACAGTACACTCGTCCTTTAGTCAGCAAACGGATATCTCGCCTACGCCATAAGTGACACAGGTTGGCAAAAACCAATCGAGCCTTCTGTATCCGTGCTGAGATTTCGTCAGTCACCAGGCCATCGGCACTGATCAGACTCCCAAGATAATTGAAGCGGTCTACACGTTCGACTACTTCACTCCCTATCACTAGTTCAGGTGCCGATGCAACCCAGTCTTGAAGCAACATTTTGCATTTCGAGGGGGAAAACCGCATCCCGAACATGCTTGCATTGTTGCTTAGGGTGGTCAGAAGACTCTGCATTTTGTCAGCGTCTTCACCAAATAGGACTATGTCATCGGCATATTCTAAGTTAATAAGCGAGCCACCTGGTAGAAGGCCTACTCCTGAAAATTCAGATGAGGATAAGGTTATTTCTAGGAGCATGTCTATGATCAAATTAAACAAGAATGGACTAAGTGGACATCCCTGACGAACACCACTTGAAGTGAGGAATTCCGGTGTTGGTTGGCCTTACTTTTCATGAACAACTCACCGAGTTATATTCATTATTCGTTCAGGTCCTCCTATATTGACAGGTTAGATGCAGAGCCATAAAAGCGGAGAACATAGGCTTTCTCATTGACAAACAACATCTCAAAGACACAACGAAGTGAGATAGCATCGATCTTATATCATACTATCTAGTACTATATAAATTTCTGATGTAAGCATTCAACCTCAAAAATAACAGAGCCGAAAGTCAAAGCCCACAGTTCAAAAATTGGTCATTTATGAATAACTCCGAAGATTTTTATTTTGAGTTGTTGAGTGAATTTTTCTCGATCTATCTATGGTATTCCTATCTTGAGTTCAGACGCTTTATGCAGAAACATTGTTCCATCATGTAAACAGCTTGTGGTTAAATTTGAAAAGTTATTCACTTGTATAACATACTTTCTACTCCGTAATTGGTTAGCTATTATCTCAAATACGTTGAATAATTTAGCAACATATTAACTTAACAGCTATGTGATTTTACAGAAAACAGAATTTTTTCATACGTAATTTTTATCACAAACTAATATGAAATCGTAAACCGATGGTACTTTCGTTTTGGTATGGGATTTCATCATTCAGTTGTTATGCTAGTTAGCTGATATGTTTGAACTATTACAGATTCGCCTTAGTCAGTAAACCACGATAGGCTACTCTAATCCGAGCGTTCCGAGACCCCACGAATGGTATCGAAAAGTCTTGAAATGGCGTAGAAAGTGTATTCTACAATCATCCAGAAAAAAATGAGGTTTTGTGACAGAAAAAGGAGACAGACAATACATCTTTATGCAGTTAGGTTGATCGTGAATACTAACCAATAGGAAACAACATGTAAAAGTATGTGAACTTGATAATTTGGGACGACCTTAAATATTGACCAATAGGAACTGACCAATAGAATTAAACTTACAAATTAATTTCTTTAGGATTTTTGATGAATATCGTAACATAAGTGCTTATAGGTTTCTTAGGCTGATCTAATGATGATTGATTCACGAATTCAATAAAAAACAACAATCTTCAAAACTCTATAATGAAATTGACAATTTATAAAAGCTGGAGAAAACAATAGACGGTTGTTCTAATCCAATAAGTAACTATTTCCCATAACTCGGTCGAGAATCAAGGCCAATATATATGTACATATATTCAACATTTTGAACTGAATATAAGATGTGATAGAAACACTGAGATGTAGTATTGTAGTGAAGGAGAACACAGGTGAGAGCAACCGAATTGTATTTAACGAAAATTACAGAGTTAATTAGTAAAATCGGAAAACCATATCGTAAACGGTTAATTTGCAAATCTTCAATCCATCATCAATCCATTGTCTGACATTTCACTATTCATGCGTTTCATAAAAATTCCATTGTTTTCCCACTCTTCCTCCTTTCTTGATCTTCCCCCATCTTCTGCTGCCAGACAGTACGTTTACACTCACGTCATATACTACTTATAAGTAGCGCGCACCACAGTATGATATTTCACACTACAATCTTAGTTCCATTACAAACTAATCACTATCGTAGAATTTCAAATCGTTTATGTGTATTTTTTTGTGGTTTATTCTTAATTTCATCCGGAACATTAAACCGATGCCCCCCGGTTAAATATCAAATAAAGTCTCGGAAAACAATGGAATGATTCATTCTTTTACTGTATGAATATTCTTTTATAAATCCAAACTGGGTTATTACTACTACAAATTACAAATTATTTTTTTTAATATGTCAATCATAGTTTAATTTTTTTTTAAAGTAATCAACATGATAGAAGTAATTAAATCACATACAGTTTTAAAATGACTCAACAAATGAGTTATGAAATGCGAAAAATTCTAATCATTTCATTCATACTACAAAAATACATAATAAAAATACATGTAAAGAATTTCTCATAATATGTAGTATATTGTGAGTCATTTCTTTCATTTATATATGATTGTATTTTTCACTGACATTCATAGTGTAGTGAACGAGAACACAGGGGGGGGGCAACCGAATTGTATTTAACGAAAATTACAGAGTTACTCAGTAAAATCGGAAAACCATATCGTAAATCGTTAATTTGCAAAATATCAGTACATCATATCAAACTGGACTGACTGTTCCTGTTGCAAAACATCAATCCAATGTCACTATTCATGCGTTTCATACAAATTCCATTGTGTTCTAATCTTCCTTTCTTGATCTTCCCTCATCTTCTGCTGCCGGACATTACGTTGACACTCACGTCATTTACTACTTATAAATAAGTAGCTCGCACCACAATAGGAATAAAACAAACTTCTGAACTGAAGGTATTTAATGATAATAACTGAAATATCAATATGATATTCAGCAACTTCTAGTAGGCCAGATCAAGAGTACCTGCTTTTTTAAATGTTTTTCGAAGGTTTTGAATTTGAATTATTATTGAACAGCAACTTCAGTTATTTGTTTTATTTTGGAATCATGAATCGATCAATGATAGAACACCATTAAAAAAACCTGGAAGTACTGGGTTCGAATCCAGTGGGTAGCGGAATTCATGGATGAGCGTTGCTGATGAGTCCCATACACTAAAGAAACGGTCATCCGGTGCTACCAGATTTCTGATGGTGGCTTATGATTGATTCATTCATGATTTCAAAAAGTAACTCAACAATCTCCTCCATAAACGCTTTTATGCAAACTTCAGCTATCTCACTTTAGGTTTTAATTGTTGTTACTTTAGAAATAACCATCTAAGTTAACGCTTGATTATTATAAAACATTATTTTTTGAATTTGATTTTTATTCTAGTAAGTCACCACGGTCGGTGAAGTTCAGTCGTTTTGTGAGTTGGACAGTAACGCATCAACGATGTTGTTGACTGACAATCACGCGGCTACGAATTGATTAGAACTGGGAACATAAACCATCGACCTATAAAAGCATTGATTTGAAGATATCTTACAGAAGAACTTGTTTTCAGACTTGTTTATGGTTGCCAATAAGTGTTAACAAGATATCCTAAACAGAAATGAAACTTTTGTCCTGAACACTTTTTTCGTTTACATTAGTTTTCCGATTATTGTCTTTTTTCTGATAAAAATAGTCCTCAGAATTTAAAATTACACTGAGTAGATATTGAGTGAAACAATGTTCAATGTCTATCGGAAATGATTCTTTCTACTGCGCAAGTGAAGTTGATGACTTTTTAAAAAAACTCTCTTCTGTAATCGAATGCTACTAATATACATAATTCAAGGATAATAGATTATGGGAAGTCTGTTTACTTGTCATTTTAGAGTTGTACTTTCCAGTGTGATACTAAAATTAATGACTGAAATCATGAATGAATCATTGTTAGACTATCATTAGAAATCTGGAAACATTGGACTGGCCTCTCGTCCTGGTATGGGACTCATCAACAGTGCGCATCCACGACTCTTGCACCTCGCATGATTCGAACCTAGGACCATCGGTCTTGAGCGCGAACGCCTAACCTCTGGGCCAATGTGCTGATATCCAACAATGTTAATGTCTAACTGTGATCAATCTAGGGATTTTGCTTTACCTCACTCATTTGTCTTTGGTAGTTACTGCCTTCAAACGACAGGGCTGAACTCCACTGGTCACGTCTTCTCACTGGAACTTCGAGAATTTCCTCACGAAGTCACTAGTGAGCATATTTTTATAATTGTTCATTATAGTTAAGGATATTGTTGTGGATGCACATTGCTGAAAAGTCGCATACCTGGACGAAACTGATGTCCAGTCCGCCCATGGTGTTCTAACAATGATCAACTCATTATTTCAGTAATAAACAACAATCTCCATAACTCTATAATCAAACAAATTAGACGATTTCATTAAAATTTGAAAAGAGTCAACAAAATATTCTTCATTAAGGTTAACTGAAATCTATTAAGTAATAAAAAAGTTTTGAATATGACTACAAATAAACTTGACAGCAAGAAACAGTTTTGTAAATACGTGATAATTGATTGAACTCTGATAATTTTCATTAAAACTGTTATAAACCATTCATTAAACAATTGAATTACTATTTCAAAAAAAAACAGACTACTTACTTATTAACTAGTAGTAGACTGTTATACATATTGTTTCTGTACAAAAAATTAAAGCCCGATTATATGTTGGTTGTTTTTTTTTCTTTTTAATCTTCAAAGATTTATTCAAATTATCGGTAATCGATCATATGCTCATCTACGCCGAGTTTTCGCACATTATACAACACTTGGTAGAAGAGATATCGAAAGTGCTTTGAAATCGGAAATGAGTGGAGATTTACTACGAGCTATGCTTACTGTTGGTGAGTTTCACTGATATATATATATATATATATATATATATATATATATATATATATATATATAACACTTATTCATGCAAAGATCTTTTGTGCTAATCCAGTGAACGTTATTCAAAAACATTGGGTTGATGGATTGAGTTCCAGTGGGAAGTCGTGACCAGTGAAGTTCAAACCTGTCCGGATGTATACAGGGTAAGAGGTTGCGCAACTCCGTGAATTTGATCAAGTTAGAGATTAGCACCGTTAGTTACCGGCTCAGTGGTCTAACGGTTAGGGCGTTCGCGCAGAATACCGAAGGTCCTGGATTCGAATCCTGCGGGGTTCAGGAGTCGTGGATGCGCGCTGCTGAGGAGTCCCATACCAGGACGAAACGGCCGTCCAGTGCTTCCAGGTTTCTAATGGTGGTCTGACATTGATCGAGTCATGGTTACAAAGTCTGTTATGTGAAAATTTAAATTTACAAATAATTTAATTAGCTTTATTAGATTTAGTTTCTCTACACGTTGTTCACCACGAAATTGTTGAATTAGATCAGAGAAGTTTTCTATAGAAGAGTTATTGTTCACTGCTCAGTAGATATCAATATAAATCAAGTCTGTAAGGTGTTTTTTGCTGCCTAAATCGAGTTACTGAAAGAAAATTAATAATAACTGAATATCAAAATAAAGAATAATGTAATTGAAAAGTTTAGGACTCATATGACTTTAGAACAACACATATAAGCGAACAATATTGTTTTCGAATAGATCGTCATCAGGCTTTACTCTCTAATATACATGAATATTTATATGAAAATGTTAAACCAATCAATCAAGGCAATTTGAGTGATAATCACAATGAAATGAAAAAGGCAAAAGTACAAGTGGATAGTAGGAAGATAGGTGAACCGATAGTAGTAGGAAAATTTATAAAATATGATAACTAAAGTAGGTCAAAGGTGGATGAATAGAATTCAAATAATCATTAAAAACACCAAAACCATTACGTAATAAGCAAATATGTAAAAATAAAAATAAGATGAAAAATATATAATGTCAATCGTTAGTTACGTCATATCCGGCCACGTAAGAGATAGGGGTGTCACGAATTTCTTCTGAATACATAAATTGGGGTTGAATGTACGTATTCCTATGGCTTCTGCAATGTGTAGGAGACGGTATCGAACTCCGTTGGGAAATGATGGAGTTATACGATAGATCACCCGAAAAGATCTAGACTTATCTACAATGTGACCACTATATACCAGGTGTGCTAAGATAGAACTGCGTATTGTTTTTGACTGACCCTTCTTAAACCATGTTGGGACATGTTCACTCATTCGTTGGTTAAGTTGACTGGTAGTACGCCCGATATAGCTATCTCCACAGGAGCAGCTGAATTTGTAAATGCACATAGAGGAGGCCAACTCAGGTAACTTATCCTTCGTTTGGGTGGACATCACTGGTCGACTTGAGAAGGTCAACGCAAATTTGGCCGCATTGAATGTTCTATTAACTGCTCTCATTAATCTGTCCTGCAGAGTATCACAGGCCAGATCTCCGTTGAATTGTAATTTAATTAATAATAGCTTCTTTCGGACGGTCGAAATTACTGACTTCTGTTTTACATCAACCATATACTTCCTTATGAATGCGCTGGGGTAGCCGATCTCGGTCAGTGAGTTGTTGATAAATTGCAGCTCCTGACTTAAAGTATCCACTGAACAGATCATTTTTTCTCTGCTAGTGAGACATCTAACCAAGTTTCTTTTGTAGCGGATAATAGGTGTAAAACTACAAAAGTGAGTGTATTGGCAAGCAGCGGGATTTTTTCTATATACGCTTCTACTTAGCGAGTCATCACTTCGTTTACTTAGTGTGACGTCAAGGAAGGTCAGCTTTTAATCGTACTCCTCTTCACTAGTGAAAGTGATTGCCGGGTGTACGCTGTTGAATTGTTCCAGGAGCTTTTTTTTGCTGATGTCCTGGTCTGCAATGATGAATGTGTCATCGACGTACCGACAATATAGATCAAGATTCTGAATAGCTTCTTTGAGTGGTCCATTTTCTAGCTTCGCTACGAAGAGATCCGTTAGAATTGGGCCTACAGGTAAACCCATGGCTATTCCGTCCATTTGTCTATAGTAAGTGTAGTTGAATACAAAATGGACGTTCATCGTACATCTAAGGAGCGATTCTTTAAGGCAATCTTCGGGCAAGCCAATATTGATTTATTTCTCCTTAATTTGCTCGCATATGAATTCAATGGTCTCAAGGAGTAGTGGTACGTCGGTAAACAAAGATACCACATCCAGTGAGATCATATTTTTCCCGCTAACATTCATATGTTCTACCTTGGAAGTGAACTCAAAAACGTGTTTTACACTCCTACGTACAAGTGATTTATGCAATGGCTATGGGAATTTACAGGATAATAGGTACGATCTTCATTGACAACAAATGGATAGATAATCAATATAATTATCACCCTGAGTATACAATGTTTCAATCAGTTCCAAAATGACAGAGGACAATATGGGGTAACTATAAAAGCGAAAATGATATGTTTAGGGAATTTCAAGTCGAAATAGAATGCTGATTGATTGGTTCAGTAACAAAATGGAGAGTTCAACAAGATTATTGACACTATCCAGTAGTATTGTAGTGAACGAGAACACAGGTGGCGCAACCGGATTGTATTTAACGAAAATTACAGAGTTACTCAGTAAATTAGGAAAACCATATCGCGTTAATCGTTAATTTGCAAAATATCAGTTCATTATATCGAACTGGACTGACTGTTCCTGTTGCAAAACATCAATCCATTGTCACTCACTATTCATGCGTTTCATACAAATTCCATTGTGTTCTAACTCTTCCTTTCTTGATCTTCCCCCATCTTCTGCTGCCGGACATTACGTACGTTGACACTCACGTCATATACTACTTATAAGTAGCTCACACCACAGTATGAATTAGAGTTTAGAGTACAGTAATAATCTCTAACTCATAGTTCAATAGCCTAAAATGTTAATTTTCATTACTGTCAAATTGTAGTCAGAATTACTGTATGATTTATTCTGTACGACGATATCCTAAAGTGATTGGGCAGTCAATCAACTTAACATTTCAAATAATTGTCAATTTTTTTTTTAAAATTCAATATAACATTGACATCAATGAAAATTTTTTATTTCAAAGTGGTTTTTAATGTGAATTGTTTGAATTCCTATTTTAGTGAGATGCGTTATGAATAAACAGAAATATTTTGCTGAGAAATTAAAAGCTTCCATGAAAGGTCTTGGAACAGCTGATTCAACATTGATACGTATAGTTGTTGGACGTTCTGGTATTGATTTAGCTCGTATAAAAAGAGAATTTGTTAGTATAACAGGAAAAACTTTAGAGTCATGGATATCTGTAAGTTTGTATAATCCCATTTTTTCAAATTTATTCTTAAAATAATTTATTTCAATATCAATAGAGTTGTTTAAATGAACTCGATAAAGCATAAACGTTCATATTTTAAAATTTATTGAACTACATGTAATGTTTAGAATTTGTCTTATATGATAAGAGTTTTTATATACTTTAGAAGTATTCATACAAAGTGGATGAATATTTTATGCATATTCTCATTCTTCATTCGTATGAGAATAAGTTTTAGGTGGGCAGAAATCCATGAAGTCATTGACGAGTGAACTTAGCGATGTCGGTAATTGTCGACTACCTGGTTGGGTTCCGCGAGATGATAATAATCGATGGTTAGAGATCTTGAATGACATGGCTCAAAAGTGTTTGCAATGGCGCCGGTGCTGGGTTCTTCAACAACTGTAGTTTTGACTTTCTAAACTTTTCTCACTGAATCATACTTCTTGAATAATAAATATCTTCTAATCCTAACCTCTCCGATTACTTCTAATACCTTTACTACCTCTTCTACTATTGGATTTGAATTGACAATTACATCTTTGTGCTGATGTGGTATGACAACATGAACTGATGTACTTACGTACGAAGTTCTACGTTGCATCTGACTGACTAACTGACTGAAGTTTTAGGTGATAAATAAAAATTGTAGTTAAATATGATTGTTAATTCTTTCTGAGCTCTTTACAACTGATAAGCAATAATACTTATTATTAAAAACAAAACATATCTAAGTATGAGGAATTCACCCAGCTATGGCATACAATCTAATTTATTGTATTGGTGAAGATTCCTTCTCTCAGGTGAATGTTTTGGGTTGTGGAGATTTCATTGTTTTAATGAACAACATTATTAGCACAAACTTCAGATAGAAGTGAAGTATTCTTGATCCTAAGATCAATAAACAGATCAGAGGGTGATATAATCGAAACAAAGGTGCAAACAGCGACAGGTTTAAGGTCGAGGTTGACAGAATAAGCTACGGTTCAAATGTGGAAAAATTCGAATACTCCACTTCAAAGTGAAGTTTGTACTGATGATGTTGTGCAGTAGAAGAACAATGAAAGCTTCACAACCCAAAACATTCAGCTCAGAGAATGAAACTCCACCACAATCATTCATTCACCTGAGCTACAAATTTTCTCCATCATCTCAACATTGGCCAAGTAGGTCTCGATTTCGATTCTTCAGCTTGGTCATTCATGTGTATTGTCATGTTATACCGTATTATTGTGAAATAGTTATTCAGTGCTTCCTAGTTTCCAATAGTTGTCGAACTAAGTTCAATTCGTATTGTAAACTATTAAAACTATTGAAGAATGATGATAAGAATTATTCTTCCAGTTGATTATTTATCCGGTTACGTTTAAATACACTGGGAGAGAAAGCTAAAAGAATCATAAAGACTGATTTTATTCCGAAAACCAAAAGTTTGGTAGTTCATTAATTTAGAACGTAATAATCAAAATAAAAACATATCCGTGGAAAAAGTTTCTTCCCATTAAACCGTACAAACGAACTTTCAAAATTCTACAGTCAATATTAAAAAAGGATCATCCATACAAGTAAGTTATAAAGAGGTAAAGAAAGGATTGTAACTGGTTTGCTCCCGTGAGCACTAACCGGCTGCCCATATCGTGCAAGGGTATTTTTTGAGGAACTTGAAAAGGAAGTTGAATTATTGCTGGTCTTAGCGAGTTGGGAACGTGACCACAGAGCCCAAAGATCAACTGCTTGAGGCCGGTTTCAGCTCCGCTCTTCAGAAAGCATTACCATCGGAGACGGAAATCCCTGAGGTAAGGTGAAGTGTGACATTTTATGGTCAACATTTCCAAACCACTTACTTCCTTGTTAGAAGCCAGCATCTCTGCAGATACTGGATGTCCAATGGAAACATCTTACTGCTGTTATACCCCATCACAGTAAGCAGTACGACTTCAATCTGAGACCTTTAGTTGCTGCTTTCAGTTTCATCGTTCTCCAATCGACCTGCCTAGCACGGTAGAACCTACGGAAGGATTTGTTCCAACCAATATAGCTCTGTTGGTTTATCCGAATACTATAGTATGAACTATGACTGTAGTCACCCCTATTAAAAACTAACAAGTTTCATAAGTTCAACATCCGATATCTAATTATTGAAATCGTCCAAGCGTAACATTTAATGGTTATATTCCTTCAATGACTTTGATTTAACAACTTCACATCAGTTACGTATCTATCAACAATGGTTTAACTGATTAATCTAATCAATCAGTCAAATAATCCAAAATGAATAATGTCGAAATGAAATATAATTTTGTTAACAAAAAAGATTCATGAACCTTGTCAAAGAAAATTTGTAGCTCAGGTGAATGAATCATTGTGGTGAAGTTTCGTTCTCTGAGCCGGATGTTTCGGGTTGTGAAGCTTCCATGGTTCTTTTGAACAACATCGTTAGTACAAGCTTCCGATAGAAGTGATGTATTCGAATCTCTTCACGTATGACTCGCAGTTTGTTCTGTCAACGTAGATGATCAGGTTTAAGATTAATAACAATGAATGAAGTTGTTGGTCATTAGAACAAACTACCGGTCAAATGTAGAAAAATTCGAATAGTTCACTTCTTCCATCTAAAGTTTGTGCTGATGATGTTGTTCAGTAGAAGAACAATGAAATCTTCATAACCAAAACATCCAGCTTAGAGAACGAAATCCCATCTCAATAGAAGATGCATAGGAAATACTTTAACCTATCATGAACCATGTTCATTACTATTTTCTTGTGAACAGTAACCAACTCATGTATACTCCGCCCCGCTGACGTGAAAAACTAATGATCAGTAACTTCAATTATTAACATTACAGCATGATTTGATTGCTCTCAAATTGTAGAAGTCTACTACATCTACTGAACATCGAGTGTATTCTAACATGATGATCAAATGAAAAGCATACTTACCGAATAATAATAATAAAAGATTTTTTGAAACCATGAACCACTGCTGAGGAGTCCCATACCAGGACGAAACGGCCGTCTTTCAGTGCTTCCAGGTTTTTAATGGTGGCCTAACATTGATCGGTTCATGGTTTCAAAAATATGTAACTTAACAATCTTCATAACCCCGTAATGCAAATGAAAGATTTCACAGAAATTACTGAATAAATATTACCAGCCAAACATTTGAGGAAATTATTCAGCATCTGTAAGATATAAAAGCCACCAGTATCAAACACAAATAAATATGACTAGCATAATAAACTTCTATTCAAACGTGACCAGCTCAACCCTGTCAAGTATAGGCAGTAACTACTGAAGACAAAAGATGGGGTTGCGCAAAATCCTTAGATTGATCAGAGTTAGACAACAGGATCCGTTCAACGCCGATTAAGTGGTCCAAAGTTTAAGCGTTCGCGCGCAAGACCGTAGGTCCTGGGTTTGAATCATCTGAGTAGCAGGAGTCACGGATACGCATTATTGATGAGTCTCATACCAAGACGAAACAACTGTCCAGTACTTCCAGGTCCTAATGATGGTCTAACAATGATTCATTCATGATTTCAAGATAACTTTTAACTGGAAATTCTAGTAAAATAGTTTGTAAGCGTATTCAATGAGTTAAATGATCAATATTTTTTTATTGATTTTAATTTTAGGATGATACTAGCGGTGATTATCGACGTTTGTTATTAGCACTCGTCGGTGCAGGAAAATAACAATACCACTCAGTATTATTATTATTAATAATAAGAAAATAACCAGTGAAAAGTAAAACACAACTCAAAATTCATTCAATAGATTTATTTTCATAAATAAAACTGTTGAACTATTGAACATATCATAGTTTGAATGACATTGACTCATTTTTTCTTTCTAAACAAATTTTTTGTTCATGTGTATAATTTTATCGAGATTAATTTTTGTGTTTTTATTAAGAGAAATGAAAAAAAAATAAAAGAGAAAATATCATTTTATTTTGTTTACCAAAATTACTACTGACAAATTTCTACTGAATATTTTTTATTACTGTAATAACATTGTTGATTTTGTTTTTCTCACCAAACATGAAGTTTATTTTCTTTTTATTTGATGAACAATTGAACATGATTTGATTTTATCTTTTTTCATGAATCATTATAATAAAATGTATTAGATTGTATGAACAGAAATCATTTGAAACGATTAAAACGTGTTTTTGATTTATAACTGTTTTTATATTAAGAAACAATTCTTATAGGCATTTAATGTCGATGAGAAATGCACATCATCATGTAGTGAAGGAGAACACAGGTGAGGGCAACCGAATTGTATTTAATGAAAATTACAGAGTTACTCAGTAAAATCGCAAAAACCATATCGTAAATTGTTCATTTGCAAAATATCAGTTCATCATATCGAACTGGACTGACTGTTCCTGTTGCAAAACATCAATCCATTGTCACTACTATTCATGCGTTTCATACGAATCCCATTGTGTTCCCGCTCTTCCTTTCTTGATCTTCTTCCATCTTCTGCTGCCAGAAATTACGTTGACACTCACATCATATACTACTTATAAGTAGCTCGCACCATATGCTGACTATATTTTAAACTTTAATCAACTTAGAGAGTTTAAACATTTCCCAAAACACAAATCACCCTGACACATTGTTCAACCTGACAATTAGGAGGATATGTTGGAAAAATGTTTGTAGTAGTGAGTTTCGAAAAAAAAAACCCATCAACCTTCTTGAATGTTGCTAGAGAATATTTATTGATTAGTAGATGCATTTTTAACACTTTACTGACTTTTGAAAAGTTGTTTTTTTCAGAAGATTTGAAGGATTTCTAACATCAAGCTGCTATCTTGATATGAAATTTTAGTAATTAAATCATTGTATATAGTGTTACACTGATCTTTAAATAGTCTATGAATGATTCAGTTACTTACCAAAATGAACTATTCACAAAACGTTCGTTAGATGTCAGTTGTTAAAGGTGGTTAATATTAAAATGGTAGAAGAAAATAGTAAAAATTAGCTACTAATTGTTGTTAGCACCTGTTAACAAATCTTAACTGCTTTCTTGGTTAATAGAACTTAAATGGCAGATAAGCATGAAATCACTTAGCACTACTTATATAGACAGACACAAGTAGTAGTAGTAGTAGTAGTAGTGGTAGTAGTAGAGCATAGGCCACTGACCAGTATTCTCCAAACTACTCTGTTCTGCACTTCACTTTCCACTTCTGTCCAAGTTTTATTCATTCTTCTCATGTCCGTCTCCGTTTCTCGAAGTAAAATGCTCCTTGGTCTTCTTCTTTTCCTTTCACAATCAGAACTCCAAGTGAGGCCTTGTCTTGTGACGCAGTTTGATGCTTTTCTCAGTATGTGTCCTATCCACTGTTAGCGCCTCTTCCTGATTTCCTCCTCCACTGGAATATGGTGTGTTCTTTCCCACAGTAGGTTGTTACTGATGATGTCTGGTCAACGAATCTGAAGTATTTTGCTTAGACAACAACTGTTAATGCCGACTTGTATCTTGTGGATGGTGGCTTTCATAGTTCTCCAAGTTTCCACCACACATACAGTAGAACTGTCTTGAAATTTTATATTGAAAATCCTGATTTTTGCTGTTGGTTGATAGAGGTTTGGAGTTCCGAGATATTTTTTTCAATTGTAGGAATGCAGTCCTTGCTTTACCTACCAAGGAGCTGTAGTGAACGAGAACACAGGTGGGGCAACTGGATTACATTTAACGATTATTACAGAGTAACTCAGTAAAATCGGAAAACCATATCGTAAATCATTAATTTGCAAAATATCAGTTCATCATATCGAACTGGACTGACTGTTCCTGTTGCACAACATCAATCCATTGTCACAATTCATGCGTTTCATACAAATTCCATTGTGTTCTAACTCTTTCTTTCTTGATCTTCTCCCATCTTCTGCTGCCAGACATTACGTTTACACTCACGTTATATACTACTTATAAGTAGCTCTCACCACAGAGCTACCTTTAAATTATGTAAATTTAACTTTAACCACTCAAAACTTTATTGCGTACACGATTAAATCTAATGAAAACTGTGTGTTGTTGAATAATGAATGAATGGTGCTTCACATGAAACTTTACAAATAAATATTGAAGTACTTTATGTTAGTTGTTTTTTGTTTGTTCTTAACTTTTATCAACAATAGTCAATACTTAATGCAACCAACTGATTTCATCATATGATTCAGGTATATCAGCCAAATTTAATCTTTTATTCTACTTTTTTTTTGGAAAATTCATCCATTTATCTAAATAAGTTATAATTAAAAAAAAGAATGAATGAATGACAGTTGAATGTAATTTTGTTTTCTTTCTTCATGTCAATTATTAAATTTTATTTTGTTCAATGAGTAAGTAAATAATATTATTTTCTACTGATGTATACAGAAAAATATACTATTCTAATGTATATATATATATATATATATATATATATATATATATGTATATATATATGTCACAAAAACTAAATTTGTAATATAGCGCTGATTCATAGTTGAGGTCTAAAGTATTAAACCATAGAATTTATCAGTGTAAACTAACTTCTGATTCTTACGCTCGTCGCTAGGTATGCTTAAAACTATTGTGGTGCGAGCTACTTATTAGTGGTATATGACGTGAGTGTTGACGTAATGTCTGGCAGAAGAAGATAGGGGAAGATCAAGTAAGGAAGAGTTAGAACACAATGGAATTTGTATGAAACGCATGAATAGTGAGTGACAATGGATTGATGTTTTGCAACAGGAACAGTCAGTCCTGTTCGATATGATGAACTGATATTTTGCAAATTAACGATTTTCGATATAGTTTTCCAATTTTACTGAGTAACTCTGTAATTTTCGTTAAACGTAATCCGGTTGCCCCACCTATGTTCTCCTTCACTACACTATTACGTGTTCACCTTAGTCGAATAACGACAACAAAACAATGAACCAGCGTCCAGGTAGGCTACTGCGATCCGATTGTCCCAAATTGTACTAGCAAGGTGTCTTGATATAGTGTAGAAAGTGTATTCTACAAACACCCAGACAGTACACAATGAATCAAGCACTCAAATTGCGTTTTGTTTATACTCTATAAAGACGTCCTTCGGACAGTTAAAAAAATGGCACACTAAAATAACAACGTAACCAATCACAACCAAGGACTTTCCTGGTGGGAAATGTAGTAATCTCAAGGTCAACCGATCGGCTCATGCTCGCAAATGTGAAATCTAAGATAAGGAGGAATTTATCAAACGACTTCTAGAGATCTAACATCCTCAACATTGATGATATGCACTTGATTACATCTAAATGATTGTAGGTTCATGTTTCTAAAGTATTCGAAATTGGAGAATCAAACACTGTGAATAGTGAGGATTTTCAATAGAATTTTCATTTGATGTTATATCAAGTTAAAAACTGTTTTTTTTTGTTTTGAATGACTGAAAAGCTATTTGACTTTTAATAACTGGGCACAATTAACTGTATGTCTCTTTATGCTAAAATAAGCAAAGTGTATACATATCTATCTACTCAGTTAGAGTTTCAGTAAAAAACACCAACACTGGGTTACAGTTAAATACAGCTGAAAAGTCTGTAATTGAATGAAACACTTATGTTTTATTCCAGTACTAGCCAAAATTCACATACACCTAAAAATATATATGTTTGTGTATAAATATACTTTTATTTTAACGAAAGCATTATCTGTTCAATAATCTTGATAATTTCAGTGACAAGTAAATAAATTACTACAATACAGTTAAGTAATATGCTTCAGCAGCAGCATATCTCAACAAACATAAAGAGAAAAGTGAGTGAGATTCTCCGATACAACAAAACATGCAACAAACAAATCACTTTTGATGGAGATGCCGTGGAGGACGTTAACACCATCACATATCTGGGGCAGCATCATTGACGACCAAAGTGGGTCTGATGCGGATGTGAAGGAGCAAATCGAGAAAGCAACGATAGCATTTCTACAATTCAACAGCATCTGGAACTCAAAACAAATATCAACCAACATCGAAGTCAGACTTTCCAATACAAGATTCAAGACGGTTCTACTGTATGGAGCGGAAACTTGGAGAACCACGAAAGCCATCATCCACAAGATACACGTCTGCACCAACACTTGTCTACGCAAAACACTTCGGATTCATTGACCAGACATCATCAGTAACAACTTACTGTGGGAAAGAACACACCATATTCCAGTGGAGGAGGAAATCAGGAAGAAGCGGTGGAAGTGGATAGGACACACACTACGAAAAGCATCGAACTGCGTCACAAAACAAGGCCTCACTTGGAGTTCTTATTGTGAAAGGAAAAGAAGAAGACCAAGGAGCATGTTACTTCGAGAAGAATAATCAATACACATATTCGATTTTTACCATGTTCAAAGTAGGTTCGATCCACAGATCATTTAAAGTGCAATGAAAATTCCCAACCGTAAAATCAGTATGTTTTTCTTTAAAAAAGGATACAGATTAATGAGCATCATGTTGGAAAATATTGGCGGATGCAATCACATACTCAATTAACTAACGTACTCACTATTTTCTAGTTTAGTTTAAGTTAAATATCAAACTGTAATTACTCAAATTTCAAACCAAAGGATTATTACAAACTTAGTTTTTAAACCTAATATCATTATTATACTGATTTAACAAACAATTTTAGTACTATCATTCATAAACTCTTATAAGACATTTCTAAATGACCTACTCCTTCCTATCTTGCTTATTGATTAGTCGTATTTATACTATCCCTTAATTTATGACTAATGACTTGATATGATAATGAATATTAGTGATAGATTTTATACTACTCATTACGTCTTAGTAGTGAGTTTTAGTCAAACAAAGAAATGAGAGATGATTACTAAACTATTCTGAAAGTTCTTTATAGATCTTCAATAGTTATTGTACTTACGATACAATTGTTGAATATTTATCTGAATTAATTTATTGCCACATCACATATTAGGTATTTCAAGTTTAGATAAAATGACACAAATCCCCATGTCATTTCACACAATAAATCTATCTATATGACATGAGAATAAATGAATAATTTTCTTCCACTTATGGATGACGTC